TGACAGAAAACAAGGTTGTTCCTTGTAATTGTGGAGACAAATAACAGGTTTTTCAGTCAAAAGGATCTTTTTTAAATGTTTTTTATGCTTAATTTCTGTTTCTTTGTTCTTAAAGTTTGGCTTTTTGCTTGCTTATGTGAAATCCCACTAAATAATTAGTTGAACCATTTTTGCATATAGCTTCTCTTAAGTAGCCTACCTTTTTGATGACGTGAAATTGTGTCTTTGAATTATATTTTTGTTTTGTCTGGAACATTTGGTTTAAGAAAATTATAGCTTCACAGTTTGCTAAATACAGAGGTATTTTTTGCTCTAAATACTTTTGTCTCATTTCTGTCTTCGCTTGCATTGATTTATAAACGGAAATGACAAGCATGCTCGTATTCCTCAGAAGCAGACTCATTACTGTTTCATTATGTTTTTGTAGCGCAGTGATAATGCCTGTTGCGTTTGGCTAAATGTTTTTGTTTTTCTTCCCTTTTTTACCTACTTCATCTTCTTTATGAGGATCATTGAGTGTTATTTGCACATACGTTATCCATATATTGCTCTTTCCTTGTCTCATTTCTGTCAGGCTCTCTCACATGTTTTCCTTTTTTTTTTCTCTTAAAAGAGCATATTTTCTCCTTTTAAGGAAGACTGAACTTGCTCAGGCTAAACTTTACTGGTAGATGAAAGCAAATATGTCACTCTCACATAGAAGAGGGAGGCAGATGTTTTTTTATTGGGTCTGGTTGGAAAAGGTTGGCTCAACAATGGCTGCAATCAGGACTGCAAGGCTGGAGGTCTCAGCTTGAAATGTTACGGACCAGGGTCAAAAAGACTCATTTCAGATCAATAGAGGTTGCTTTTTTTTTTCCAACTGGTTCTGGGTAATTTAGTTCACATAATCAAGACTCTACAACAGCAAGAAATTAAAACTATTTTTATCATCACTATCTCAGGGTTATCAGAGTCCAGAAACACTTTTTTATTAAAGTTTACTCCTGAAAATTTAATAGGAAGTTTCAAGATTAAAATTGTAGCAATCTTACCTCTCTGACAAATAAAGGATAAAGGTTTTAACAAAGATTAAGGAGTGAGAATATAAAACAGCTGCAACACTTCAGTCCTTTCATATTAAATCTTGCAGCTGCATGATCAGATTTTCAAAGGCAGACTTCACATATCTAATGAGTGTTCTGTGATCAGCCAGCTATAGTAGTAAAAGTGAGATTTTTTATTTTATTTTTGTCACAGTTCAGCTTTTCAAACCTATTGTTGATGATTTCAATAAAAAATAGTTTTTAGAGAGAGAAGAGGGAAACAATTTAGCAGGGGAAATTTATCTTTTAAACTCAGCAATACAGTTATGGCATAGTTTAGCAGATGAATGTAACATAGAACCATAAATCAATTTAGAATACACAAAATGTATTTTTTTATGAATATAAAGATGAATTATTGGTGTTTTTGAGGGTTGTGGAAAATGGCATTTTGCAAAACTTATACTACTCATTTGCTGACTTTGCCATAGCAGAAAAGTATCCTTCTATCTAGTCCCTTTCAAATATAAAAGAAGGAAAATAAAAAAAAGATGTGATTTACTAACTATTTGAATTCATTTTGTTATGTTTGAATGCAAAAAGTTAATACAAATAAAGATAAAATGCAGTTAAAAAGAATGCTGGTTCTGTTTGAAAATGACTGCAACCCCTGTTAAATAATTAATCTAATGTGGTTCATTACATTTTTTATTCCAATTAAACTGTTTGGTTACTTCTGGATATGTAAAATCAGAAAATGCTGTGATTTAAGGTGATCTGACAGCATGAAATAGAACAAAGGATTCTGAAAACAACACATGATGCCTCCATCTGAGGAAATCAAAAAGTAATTGACTTATCATGTACTAGTCTGGAAATTGTATCAAATCTGCTTAGGAACTAGTGCTAAAGGTTGGTTATTCTAGAAATCTATTAATCTAGTGATTTTTCAAAAGAAAATCATAACAGAGACACTAATTTTGAATTAACACACTGTTTTTAAACTTAGAAACAAATTAATGCACATTTTCAATGCATTGTAAATGTAGAAAACTGGTAAAAAAAAATGAATTCAGTGCTTAGACAGGCAGCTGGAGGAGCTCTGGCTACAGACAGAAGGTTTTTTCTCCCAACTGCAAAATGAATCGAATAATTTTTAAAGTTTTGGCTTCATTGCTGCATGAGAAGGTTGATCTTTCACCAATAGCCTTTTTAGAGTCTACATAAATCATTTAACAGTAATTGGTGCACCTAATTAGTCAATGAATATTTTTATAATTGATTTAACCATTTATTTTACCCCTCTTTGTGATTTTAGTCAGCTACAGTTATAGTGTAGTCATGAATGGCTTTAAAAACTATAAATAAGCTATTCGTATAAACTATTTGAATGTAGACATTAAAACGGTACGCTAAGAGATTTATATAGTGTTTTTCTATGATATTCTATGCACATTATTTAAAATGCATGAGAGTTATGGTATTTTTTCCATTTTGCTACCTTAACCTTTTTGCCTGTTTTAAAGGTGAATCTGGTATTATTAGACATCTACCATAAAATATGTCCTGTTTTCAGGGGCTTTGTTTGTTTTCAAAAAACACACCTGGTATATAGAAGGATATGAATCACATACTGTTAAACGGGAAAAGAACATTACTCTATATAAAGTCCTTAAAATTTGATATACAGTTGAATTAAATCATTGCCAGATTTGTGAATTTTCCTTATCAAAAGGCAAATAATGAAATCTCATAACACTGGATTGAAACAATATGATTTTTTTCATAAACCTGAAGAACTTTTAGAATATAAAAGATAAAGGGAAAAACTTCTTGAGGAACCCTGTTGTGTTGAAAGAATCAATACATAAAGATTTTACTCTCTCTGGCTGACAAGTATCTCTTGCTGCAATGAATGAGCCTCAACCAGCAATCTGGGTTTTGGCAGATTAAATATACTGCAGCAAAGTGAAAAAAAATCTAAGATAAAACTGGCATTTTGTTTGGTCATACATTTTAAGAGAGTTTCGATTTTTCACAACTTTTTAGTGGGAGATGAAGTGATGGCAGTAAAACAGATATATATAAACATGTTTTTAAGATCCTAACTTACTAAGGAGGAAGACTGTTAGTTAACGTCATTTTTGGAATTTAGCCCCTTGGTCAAATAGGAAAAAGTCTGGCGATTTCAAAGGTTATATTCTCTGCAAAAAGCAGGTTCTTTTGTCCTTAAAAGTTCATACATGACAAGAAGTAAGGCTGCGCCTATAAAGCACAGGATAATAAACACATGAATGTGCAGAGGAGTTTGTTTTAAAAACACAGACTGAGCTCAGTACAGCACTGAAAATAAATCTGGGCACTGCTGATATGGTAGCTTGACGTTGTGTTTTTGTAGCTGTGTGGTTTCTGCTGCTCGCTGGTATTCCAGTGAGTGCTGCTTTCTAAACGTTCAGGTTGTTTACCCTTTTATTTCAAACTGATCGAGGTGACCAGCCTCTACAGTAAACCGAAAAATGCCATCAAGCTGAAAAAGAAAAAAGAAAAAGCTGTTGTCTACATTTTTATTAAATCAAACACACCACATAAGAGGTATTTATTCAGGTTATTAGGGTGGAAAGGATTCTTGTCTCTGTGGTAGTGGTCTCTTCTTTTGGAGTATCACTGACGCTGGTTATTAGCGTCATTCATTTAGCCCACATGCTGTCAGAAGCACCAGTGTGTCGCCCAGCTGAGCAGCTCAGAAGCTGGTGAAGACATACTTGAATGAATGAGGGATCCCCGGTCACCCCCTCATCGCTCCAGTCTCTCTTCAGCTCTTTCAATTGTAGAGGATCAGACTAGCACTTCCTTTGAGGTTTTATAATTCATTGCACCTGGCCTGCATTCACCTTCTGTCAGAAGGGAAAATCTTTATGAAGATATATCTCCCCCTCAGGAAAATCGGTGGCGTTTGATGTGTACTCGCTGATTTCAATGATAATTTTCCATTTCTTTATGTTGCTGCCATTCATTTACCCTGCTTCTTCTTTTGGGCTTTCCGTCTGACCGCTCACACTGCTGTGATGTTGGTTTTAAAGTTCATTTTCTTCCAGTCTTGTGTATTGATTGGATAAAACCGATGGAATAGCCTTAATGCCTCTGCAGTCTGAGTGCTAATTTGGCTTTCAGACATGCATCCTGAATATCCATAAATCTACTTCCACAAGGCTTAGATTAAACCTTTTTATACCTTGAAAATTGAACAGCACAAAAAAGTTTTTATCTTGGCTTCTTATTAATGAGGATTTGCTTTTGGAAAAAAGTCATGCTGTTTGAATTTAGATAGTCATTACCAAATGAAAGAGATCTACATGTTGAGCAGGTCAATGTCCTTAGGAATATTGAAGCAATTTTTATTTTTTATTTTTTTACATAAAATTGTGCTAATTAGATCTTTTATTAATGGACACATGATAAAGAGTTTTTTTCCTTCCTATTTTGTTATGTTACTATAAAAAATTCAATTTCACCTTCTAGATTTTTTTTTTGTGAGGAACCAACACAAAGAGAGCATAATTTGAAAGAAAAGGATAAAAGGTTTTAAAAATGATTCCCCATCAAAAATCTAAAACCCAGTGGAATATGTATTTATATAGCTCTTACTTTTTCAGGTATGCATACATAAAAAACAACCCTCTGATCATCACTTTTGTTTAATTAAACTCCTCCATAAATGCAGATGTTTGAGGAAGACCACAGAGGTTTGCAAGAAAACATTTGGAAACACAAAGTACATAAAAAATCAAGAAATGAAGAAGACTTTAAAGCAGGATTTATCATCAATATCATGTTTTTTCAAGTTGTATAAATCTGTTAGAGACGCACCTCAGCTTTAGAATCAGTGAAACGTACAACCAAAAAATATTAACTTAGTGGGAATATATAGAAATGTTCAAGACTTAATTCAGACCCTCTTTTTTGCTTTGCTTACAGGTCCAAGGATTTGATCAAAGAAGCAATCTTGGACAACGACTTCATGAAGAACTTGGAGCTGTCGCAGATCCAGGAGATTGTGGATTGCATGTACCCTGTGGAGTATGGGAAGGATAGCTGCATCATTAAGGAGGGCGACGTTGGGTCGCTGGTGTATGTAATGGAAGGTAAAATTAAACTCCCGCAGTAGCAAAAAACACACTTTTGAAATAATAATTAGTTTAAACAGAAAACCAAAGATGTAGGAAGTAGCACAAGAATAGAGCTTAGACTATAACTAGCATTTACCCTGAAATACATGACGCAAGCGCTTTGTGTCATCATGCAGTTCACAGATTTTTTTTGCTGATTTTATTTAATTTTTTTTTCTGCGCAGCTACTGACTCATTAACTTTATTTTGAAGAATATGTTTCATTAGCCTATTATACAAGGCAAGAACATGATAATGTGTATTTCAACACTGAGGGCAGGTTTGCCTCATGATTTTTGACTAAAGGTGCTGTGTTTTAATCCCTTAACAATTATTTTTCCCTGATGGTAGATATGACCTCAAAGTGTCTCATTGAGTGACTTAAAGCTGGAATAAATCATTATATTAACACGGTGGATATTGACAGGTATGAAGCCATAAAATAGGATAGAGCACCCTGCACTGAAGTTCCACTTAATGTAACTCGTTTAGTAAAGTACTTTTACAGGTTTATGCTTAACACTGTCAGAAAAAGGTTGTAGAAGTAGTGCTCTATAAGAAATAAATTATCAAACAACAACCGTTTCTCACTTAGTGTTTGAACGCTAAGGTGACCAGATGGAGGTCTGGAAGGTTTTATACCAATTTCCCTTTTAAAGACTGGTTCTGTGGGACTCTTGGCGGATCTTTGGAGAAATATTTAGGCATATATGGTCAAAGTGTCCCAGCTTCACCTTGTGCTTCATTTCTTGAAGGAAATAAAGTCGTTTTTTAATGTTTGCATTTAATCTTTTGTTTCAGTTAAAGCCATCCTTTTTTAATGTCAGAGGTTGTGTGTTATCGTGATGGACTGGGCTGTGATGGAACGATACCCGACTTCACCCAGAGGGAGTGATCAAAATGCCACAAGCTGGTGAATTTTTGATACTCCAAATATGTTTTCCATTAAAAGCGCCAAAAAACGATCCTCTTTCAGAGCCGGATCAGCCAAAGCTTCTGAGACCTTCAAATTGTTTTTTAAAACAGATGAGGAATTTAAAAATTGCAGTCAAACAGGATTCACATAAGGCAAGTTTCCTAATATTAAGTGATTATATGGCACTGTGGACCACCAGGCTATATAGATTAAGTGGTTATAAATAATAAAACAATATAATTTTGTTGCAAATAATAAAAAATAAAAAAAATATTGGAAGCATATAAGAAATAGACAGCAGTTTATTTCTTAGACTTTGTATTGTTTGCTTTTGTGTGAATTGTCATATAAATATCTACATGGTTATGTTTTCATTACCCGGGTAAGGCTATTTATAAAATACAGCTTTTGTAGTGATTAATCAGCACATACTGCTTTGTTTATAGATGTCCTCTGTCCTTATTGAGTAAATTAAAATGGGTTCGGGTTAATAAAAATGCATCCATTTAAACAAAGGAGTGAGCTTTTCTACTTTCACATTTAACAAGAAGAACAGGCAGGAGTTTTGCTCACCCACCAAAAACTGAGTTTTTTTGTAGTTGCTTTTAATACAAAAATGTCTGATGGTATCTATAATAAATAGGTCAATAATTATTCTTCTCAAACTTTCCCACTGCATGGTTATACTTAAAATCGCCTCCAGCATGACAGAACAGATAAATTTAATAAAGATATGTGTAGTCAGTCACTGAATAAGCTTAACTCCCTATACTTGTTCTTGTTCTACTCTATGATTATGTTAGACACACTTCCAGCATTTTGCGCAGACAAGTTTTAATAAATCCCAATTTATTTTGCACGGCTTGCAAAACTGTGTAATAGTTCCTGCATCTTATTTTGTTTTCCTTCTAGAGTTTTAAGCTTTTAGACCCTTTACTAAACAATTCATATTAAAACAGACATAGCAAACTTCAGCCTGTTGCGCTCATGTAAACACAATATAGCAGAAGAAACAAAACTTTATATACTTGCAACTTCACTTATCTTGCAAGACTTTTTACCAACAATTTCTATCAAAATAGAATGTTAAGATGCTATCATTAGCCTAACATTTATTCAGTCTGTTGCGGCATCAGCAGGAGCAAGATCAGAGTCTAGCTATAAATGTTGTTTTCTGAGAAACCAAATATTGGTTTTCAGTATATGTAAGCCATAATCATGCAAAGAACAACCAACAAAAGCGTGAAATATTTTACTTTCTATGATGATTAAAATCAATCTAAATTTCACTTTTCTGAAATAAGTGACAAAAAACATTAATCTTTTAATGGTATTCAGTTTGCTTGAGATGTTGTGAGATGATGATTTGTTGAAGTGATGCCTTAGCTCCAAATGTTATTGTTATTGGAAACTTAAAGGTATTGTGGAGAAATTTCCTGGATTTTTGAAAAGACCAGCCCTCTCCACTAAAAAAAAAGATGCACATGTACATGCACAAGTCCATTTCTCCTCGTGCACACTCTGCTTATAATTTGCTGTTTGCATCGCTCATACACTCTTACTGTCCAAAGAAAGATTTGCAGTTTTTCCACTAAGACAGACTCACCACCAGTAAGTGCAAATGGAGTGAAAGATATAGGACTGCCTTACGTAATCATATCTCCAAAATGATTGACAATTAGGAGGACCACTTATTTGAATGATCCACCCGGAAAAAGAACATCCTCCATTATACCTTTAACCATCCATCCATTATCTTACACGCTTGTCCCAATTGGGGTTATACCTTTAACAAAACATAAAAAAATCTGCAAAAATGATTTTGCACCCATGTTACAGTTAAGATTAGTATACTTATTGCACATAGATAGAAGCAGTCCCCCAGTTTCTCGATTGTCTTTTGGTTCCTACTGTTCATACACCTCTTTCTAGAGAGCAGAGGGCTGAACAGATAGTGGTCTGTGATGATTCTCTTAGATCTCACAGTTTCATCCAGACAGGGTAAAGACAGCATATATTCTTTTCAGCTTATCTTATCACGCTCTGTGGTCTCTTCTTTTCAGCCACTGTACAGGCAGTGTTCCACATATAAGTGGTATGTGTTGTGCACTGGAAGGTCATCGGCAGCATCTTCTTCCAGCTTTTCTTTCTTTGCATCCTCAATAATCAGATGTGATTCTCAGACACCTGGAGGAGCTGTTGGTCTTATTCTTTAGAGTCTGCAAGAAGATACTTAATATGATACAACACCAGTTTTTCTAAGAATTTAGTGACCACTGGTGTTTGAAAGATGGATATAAAGTCACAGAAGCTGCTACTGCTGGAATCCTTTGAGGCAGTGGCTACAGCAGCAGGCTTAAAGTTAGTTGCTTGTCTAATGGGGAAAACATAGACTTGTGTTTGAAAAGCTGTTTCTTTTAAATGTTCCCACTGTTCACACAACACACAGCTCACCAATAAGCTGTTCTAATTAGACTTTTTCTGACAAAAAGGAGTGAGACTTCACTAGAGTAATGATACCGTTTAGAAATGATCCAAAAGCTGCCAGAATCCCAGTTTTTTAGATCAGAATTCTAGTCAACAACAGTCCTTAACCACCCTTGAAATACAAGCAGAGAACATTTTTGTGTTTTGACTGATTAAGTGCAATAAGTCAGATGTCACTTCATACCAGAACAGAATACATCCACTTCAGATTAATCCAGCTATTCAAAATATTCTCAGGTCATCACACAGAGACTTTTACTAGTTTATCTATTTTTCTCAAGGTAAAATTTCTTTGCATTTCATAATATAACAATGTTTTTCATTATTTTAAAACAGCATGATGTAAATAAAGCTAATTGACTTACTAATTTATTTTTTAAAGATATTGAATTTACCAGAGCCATTCCATTAAAACCCCAAAATACCTGAAAGTAATCTTAAAAAGATGTCCACAGGAATCAGATGTGATTTTTCTATAATCTGTTTTTTCCTTTATTGAATATGTCAAATAGTTAATGGTGGAGTTGGATTTAGCTCTCTGTGTGACACACAGTAAAAAATGTGTTAATACAATATCATGTAAATATACAAATAAAAGGATGGAAATACCGACTGTATGACTTTTCGTCACTTAGAAATAAGCTTTTAATGAGATCAAGCAGAGGGACGGTCAGAGGAACCAAAAGCCAATGAGAAGTTGGTCGGTGTGGAGGCAGTGGCATTTAAAGGTTGATATTGTGTTTTGAAGAATCAGTCACCACAATTGATTGTTGCTTCTGTTGTCGGTCACCTCTTTGTTAATGGATTGTTGAGCCGTTTCTTGGATGCCCCATTCAGACAAACCTTGTTAAAAATAGATTTGTAGCCATGAAGGAGCAAAGCATTTTGCAAAGAGCTGCTGGTTTAAAGGTTGTTCCCTTCTGAAGAGCACCTTAAGAAAACTTTCTTGCAATTTTCTTCTTAAAAACAAACTTGAATGTAATTGAATGGTTTTACATTTCAGACATACAAAGATTAAATAAAATATAATTGAAGTTTTTCTCCTTTTACTATAACTGTGGATTAGATTACATATTTAAAGACTTTTAATCTAATAATCTGAGCCCCATTAATTAAATCACGTGTGGCCGACATGTTATGGAGGCAGATCCATGAAAGGGTAGCCATGAAGGCCACCAAGCAGGCGAAGTAAGTGAAAGTCAGACAGGATCAAAATTAAACCTTTTGGCCTACCTGCCTAATGTTATTTATCAAGAAAAAACAATGCTGCACATTACCCTCAACATACCCTTCACATAGTAAAGCATCATCACACTGTGTTGACATTTTTTCTGCAAAGAACCCTAAAGTGGTCGCCTGATGAACCAAATACATTGGCGTTCTGGAATTTCATAGCAGATGGAAGTAGGACAACCATTTCAAAAAAGTATAAGGCTTTTGAGTATTTCTCAAGGCATTGCCAGTACACATTGATGTGAAAAGATAAAATCCCTCTCAGAATATTCAGAACCACACTTGTGAAATGGTGAAATCTATATGCATTTTCTCTGCAATTTAGCAGTACAGTAAAATA